ATATATATATAAGTATATATGTATATATATGTTGTTGTTAAGTGCCATTGAGTCAGTTCTGACTCATAGTGACCCTGTTATGATTTTCCAATGAGTGGCTGGTGGGTTTGAACCGCTGACCTTGCAGTTAGCAGTCCAGTGCTTATCCTACAGCACCACATCAGGATTCTTTCTCTCTTTCTATATATGTGTGTGTATGTGCATGTGTATGTAGGTATATGTATATGCATCTATGTGACTGTATGCACATACATCCATATATATACGATAAAGCACATAGGGGACATTACGAAACAATTTTGGGGGTGGGTGTTCTTGATGTTAAGGTTTAGGACCATAGTCTTGTGAGACAACTTGGTCAACTGGCATAATTCAGAAAGTTATGTTCTAACCAATTTGGTGAGTTGTGTCTGGGACATAGGTTTTATTTGGGTATCCAGAAAATCCAGAGTACTCTCCTCAAACATACACATTGACAGAACTTTCTAGTTCATCATAGATTGGCTAATCTATGCCCCATCTGTAGTTTTCATTGCCATGTAAATAACTGATCCAGGGCCTGATCTCTTACAGTTCTTGAGTGTTTTCTGTGGACAGACCCAAACCTGTAACTAAGGAATGTCTCCTTTGGGGTTAGGAAGATACCAGCAGGTCACCAGAATGTTCTATTAGAGCTTTTTGATGCAGATGGCCATGACAGCCTGTTGTGTATGGGCACTCCAAAATTTGGGGTGTCTGACAGAAGTAAAATGGTTTACACAAAGTCAGTTTGTTGTTGTTGTTATGTGTAATGGAATCGGTTCCGACTCATAGTGACCCTGTACAGGATTTCTGAGGTTGTAAATCTTTATGGGAGCAGAAAGCCTCATCTTTATCCTGCGGAAAAGAACTGCTGACCCTGAGGTTAGCAGCCCGATTCGTAACCACTACACTACCAGAGCCCCTTTAGAACTCCATTTTGTCCTAGGCTCAGCTTCTGTTTCTGAGGAGATCATGACTGCTGGTGGTTAAACATGGAGGGGCAGCTTGCCCACTGGAAGAATCTGGTTGAAAGCAGATTAACTAGTATTCAGAAAAGTGTTTTCATAAAGAACTTGTTGGGGCCTGTCCTTAATGAGTTCCAAAAAATAGCCAATCTGACAACTTCACATTAACTAGTCAAACAGAACGTTCTTTACACTTAACTTCTAAGTCAGGTCTGTATCTGTTCCCATGGAAAAAACTGACCCTTAGACTCATGGTCTCAATTTGCAAGAAGTCTATGATTCCTTATCTGAATGTTCTGTGCTTTCATAAACTCTTTTGCTTTGCTTGAAGAGGCGAAGAATCTTTTTCTCTAAGCAAGCAGGCATTGCAGGTAGTCCTCAGCTTACAACGGGGATCCATTCCCAAAACTGTTGTGAGTTCTTTCTTTTATATGTTTATTATTGCCTTTCATTATGAGCATCTTCATAGATCACAGCATTAAACATCTAAGAGTGAACATCTGAGAATAACACCAGCAAATTACATGCTGCAACATTATATGCAGTAACTATTACGTAGCTTGTTGTTGTTGCTAAGTGTTGTCAAGTTGGTTCCAACTCATAGCAACCCTGTGTAGGGTTTCAAAAGCTACAGAAAGCCTCACTTTCTCCTGTAATTACTAAGATAAGATGCACAAAAATACAGATGCTTTGTAAGTGCAGTTTGCAGTAACTTGAATGCTTCATAAATCAGGGACTACCTACACTGTTGTTGTTGTTGTTAGGTGCCTTTAAGTCAGCACTGACTCATGGCGATCTTATGCACAACAGAATGAAACACTGCCTGGTCTTGCACCTAGCTCACAATCATTGCTACACGTGAGCCCACTGCTGTTGCCACTGTGTTTGAGTGCCTTCCAACCTGGGGGGCTCATTTTCTGGCACTATATCTGACAAGCCAAGGTATTTTCAATAACCTCATATGCATGCAAAAGTTGGACAGTGAATAAGGAAGGCCACAGAAGAATTGATGCATTTGAATTATGGTGTAGGAGGAGAATATTGAAAGTGCCATGGACTGCCCAAAAAAACAATAGATCTGTGTTGGAAGACGTACACCCAGAGTACTTCTTGAAAGCTAGGATGGCCAGACTTCGTCTCTCATACTTTGGACATGTTGTTAGGAAGGACCAGTCCTTGGAGACGGACTTTGGTAAAGTGGAGGGTTGGAGAATAAGAAGAAGACCCCCAGTGAGATGGAATGGCACAGTGGTAGCAGCAATGGGCTCAGGCCTAGCAACAATTATGAGGTTGGCCCAGGACTGGGCGGTGTTTCGTTCTGTTGTGCATAAGGTCGCTGGGAGTCAGTATGGACTCGATGGCACCTAACTACAACAACATATCTGACAAGTTTCAGGTGCTCTTCACCATGTTTCAATATTCCGGTGCTGTCTGACAGTGCTCCACTACTATTCATAAGGTTTTCAGTGACTAAATATTCGGAAGTAATCGTCTCTTCTTCTTCCTAGTCTGTCTTAGTCTGGAAGCTCATCTGAAACTTGTCCACCATGGGTGACCCTGCTGGTATTTAAAATGTCAGTGGCAGAGCTCCCAGAATCACAGCAACTCACAAACCACCACAGTATGAGAAACTGGCAAATGAGTGGACTGCTTATAGTTCTTATAATAATGCTCCAAGTGCCCAGGAACTGAAGGTCAACGAAAAAGAGGAAGACCCCCAAAGAGATGGATTACCACCGTGACAGCAACAATGCACTCAAGCATAGCAACACTTGTGAGGGTGATGCAGGGCCAGGCAGTGTTTTGTTTGCTTGTGCACAGGGTCACTATGAGTTGGAACTAACTCGACAGCACCTAACAATACCACCACCACCAAAGGAGTCCAGAGGTTTTCTGATCCTTAAATCTGGCCCCAGATTCGGGATGCCATTTTCACTTATTCACCAGATACTTACTGAGCACTTCTGTGTGACAGGCAGTTTTAGATGCTAGTGTTACAGGAGTGACAAGACAAATACAATCTCTGCTCTAATGGAATTTTCCTTCAGTGTTGGGTTGTCAAGAAAGAGTGACACCTGGGAGTGAAGGTGGCACTTACAATACTCACTTTCAAACAGGTGGTCCTGGCTACTTCACCTCACTTCATTTTGTGGAAAGTGAACGCTCGAATTGAACAGGATCACGGCAAACGTATCATGGTGGGGGGGTGCCTTGAGTCTGCTTGATTTCCAAGACTCCCTTTGAGTCTATATTCCGTAGCTCCTTGAAGCAAGAACTGTGTCTATTTTATTTCCATTTGCTCATTACTTTGCAAAGTGGAGGGACTCAGTAAATGTCGAAGAAGTAAACCCTTTTTATTATTTTCTTAATACTATGCAGGGTGGGAGCCCACTTCTTGCCTACGCTGGCTCAGCCTCCATCTCTTAGGATGAACTCTTTGGCTGATGGCTCCCTGGCAAGTAAGCCAGCAATCTCTAGGGTGAAGTACTGAATGATTCCTGGTGGGCTTCCACACATACTAGGAGAAATCACTACAACTCTGATATACTAAGACAGATGTCCACACTTGACACATTTCCAAGAACTGGCTGAGAAAAATGGTACAGATGTTTGGTGGCTTAGCAGGAGGTGTGGCTTAATATGATTGCAAGAATAATTAGGCTAATGAGAGAATGAGCTGGCTGGGGAGGGAAATATCACAGACAGCCAGACAGCAAACTATTTTACTTACTTTAACACCTGTGCAACTGTATTTGGTCCAAACCATTCACCGATTGATTTTCCTTCTCCTACACCCATTTGTGCTGTTTTTATTTGAAAAAGAGAGAGAGAGAGAGAGAAAACAAACAAACATATGAGCAAAAGGTCTTCCAGCAAGTCACAAATTATTATTTTTTTTAACGCTAATAGCCAAGCAAATGGATCACTTAGTGGAGCCACATATAAGGCAGGAAGAGAGGAGAAGCAGGTTAGGTAATGCCTTTCAAATGCTGATTTATAGCCTTACCCATTTGATGGATAGAGTAGCAACAGTCTTTTCTATCTAAGAAGCACTGGAGGATCCGCTGGTATTCTTTGGGTTGTTCTTTTTGTTTCTCCCAGTTCCAGTCTTTTTAGGAAAAATAAAATGGTTCTTAAGAAATCATTCTTATAACTATTACCTCTCTGCTGTTGGAAGTACAAAGTTAGAAAGAAAACAAAGGCATTCTATCTAGAAGTCCAATTTGAACATTCCTAAGCATCTTTAATTTTGATGACAAAGACATCTGGAAACTGATTACTTTCAAAGACTCAGTGGGTATAAAATAAAAGCAAAACAAGGAGTTGACCAGTGAATAGACTTTGTCTGAGGGCTGGAGCTGGATGAAAATAACATGAAAACACTGTGTCACAAAGGCCTCCCGTCACAGGAACCTTCCTAGTCACCTACTCCATGAACAGGAAGGAGGTCACCACAAAGTCCCGCACTATGTCCATATATAAGAAAAACCCAGATGCCATGGTGTCTCCTCTCTACACAGACAGCAATGGATTTGTCCTTAAATTCTAGCAGCATTATTAAAAGGGTCTCGGGGGTGGGGGTGGGAGGTGGGGGTGAAGATGCTACTCTGACGTGCAACTATACACAATTCACTACTAAGGAGGCTGGCATGCAAAATGTGCCCTTTGGACATTTAAATGAGTATCTATTTTTTGTTTTGTATGTGTATATAAAATATTCTTGCTCTGTTCATTTGTGAAAAATAAGATGTAAATGGGGAACCACAGGGAGGAAGCAGGATAACTGTTGCTTTGGGGAAGGGAGTGTAATCATTGAGATGAAACAAAGCGTATGATTGGTTGAAAGTAAAGCTGATGACCTTATCTGTTAACCTTCACTCAATTCACAATAAAAAGTAAAAAAAAAAAAAATGCATGTTACCTTTTTACATTACTTCTTTAAAAGTCCGCACTGACCTTAGGAAAGCAAATGCTTTTGCTATTGAGGTATTCAAAGTTCCCTTAAGACCAAACCCAAAATAGCTACCTCTGTCTGGACCCCATCCATGCCTTAGGCACAGTCCCCCCAATGCCTAAGAAGCCATTTATTACTTACTGAGGATAACGGGAAAAGCACCACATAATCACTACGGTAAACATGAATGCACTACGCTTACTCCCTGCGCTTGAGGAACTCTATGTAATGGGATAGATTCTGAGGCTTAGTTTGCTTCCAAGACATAAATTTCTCTTCTGAGGTTTTAGAAAGCATTTGAATTAATGACTGAAATGTACTTGAAGCCAAAGGCCATTTTCTTTTATTTCTAGTCTTGCTGAAACTAAAGTTTTAAATCTCATATCCAACACAGTCTTCAGAGGAAAAACCACCTCCAATTTCTTCTCATTAGATACTGAACTGTCCAGCGTTTTCTGATGACAATAAGAGAACATCCCATGTCATTTTTAAAACAGTGGAATAGGAAACAAGCCAAGATACTTCTTTATAAAATTACGTCTTAGCTACAAGATCTATTTCTAAATTCTTCCTACTACTGCTTTTGATATTTAAACAATCGAGGCTGCTGACTATGGGGATTTTTGTCCAGTTAGGCACCCCCACAAAACTCTTTCCAAAATAAGCTTCTGAAAGCATTTTTTAAATGAAAAATAGTTACCGTAAGAATGAATGTGTACGTGAAGAAGCATATATGCAGTAGAAAAATCACTGGACAAGAAATCAGATTTGAATTATGTTTCCAAATCTATACTTTCTAGCTCTTTGACCCTGGGAAAACTACCTCAATTTCCTCATCTACAAAACAGAAAATTGTAATACTGCTCAGTGGAAACAGACATAGGCTAGCTGGTGGCACCAAGTGGTCAAGAGGGACTAAGGAGATCTGTGTTGCCTTGCTTCTTTGAAAGAAACAGAATAAGCCCATAAAACCTCCCCAGACTCCTCCTCAATCCTCTCTGAGTAGTTACATAATGGGGAGAAGGGATTGATGCTTCCATACGTCTAAACCTTAATTAGCAACAGTCAGTACGTTCAGAACCCCAATCTTATTCAGGGTGTCCTTCCACTCCCTCATCCCAAGCCCAAAGGGACTGCACTGCAGTGAATTACTTAGTAGGGTCCTTCCAGCCATAGTCTGTGCAACTCCCACCAAATGACTGGGTGGGTCTATGCAAATGAGGTATTTGTGGCCCACCCAGGGGATTGGATAGCTTGTTAATAATGTAAATAAGGTTCATGGCACCCTTGTGGGGGTTGTTGTTGTTGTTGCTAAGTGAATAGTGACCCTGTATAGGGGTTCCGAAGCTGTAAATCTTTAAGGAAGCAGAAAGTCTCATCTTTCTCCCACGAAGCAGCTGGTGGTTTTGAACCATCAACTTTGCAGTTAGCAGTCCAGTGCTTATCTTATAGCACCACATCAAGACTCTCTTGTGGGGGTGGGACCATGCAAATGAGGTTCATGGACCCCCAATGAGGGAATTGGTCAGTTGTACCATCCTGCTAGGCTTAGAATGAGCCATTCCAGAGGTAGAAAACAGGGACCTCAACACTACCAAGAAGGAAAGATGGAAGCAGACCACGTCCATTGCACCTCCTCAACCCAGGAGGCAAAAAAAGAGCTGTAACACCAGAGACGGTGAGAAGCACAGCAGAGAAATGGTGCAGACCAGGAGGAGACAATGCAGTGCTCAGCACCTTTGGTCAGAAAGCTTGTAGAGAAGTAGGGTACCTCCTGGAACTTGGTGGAGCTAGGTTTGCTGACCCATTGAGCTAGAGTTGAGTGTCTTCGGACCAAGGTGGACTGGCGGAGTGGAGTTCCTCTAGGAACTTATCAGCAGAGCTAAAAGAGCTTTGCAACACTTTTCTGAGTAGGGCAAAGGCCAGCCAAGGGTCTGAGAGCCAGAAAGAGACTGGGCAGCAAGCACAGCTGAGAAGAGGCTGTCCTGATTAAAGAAATGTATCCTGAGTGTTCCTGAACTTAAGTGTGACCCATTACTTCCCTAATAAATCCCAGAACTGTGAGTGTGGTCTGTGAGTTTTGTGTGGCCATTGCAATGACTTATCAAAGCCCGCAGAGAAGTAGAGAGTGCCGTGGGAGGAATGGTTGCTGTGTGAAATAGTAAAGGGGTAGAAATAAGTCAAAGACATTAGCTTTGGGCTGATGCTAATGATAATTCTCTCTCCCTCTCAAAACTAGAGGAGGTCAGACAGCACTGCCATGTCATTTTTCCATGGACTTTTTAAGCCAAGTGCTTGAACTGGATATATAACCCTGATGATCCTTCAGATGCCAACAGAGAAACACGTACATTTCTTCAGAAAACAATACTCAAGAGTTTCAGCAATGATTACTGGAAGGTTCCTAATGAAGTGGTATCCTGAGGATGCTAATTTAAGGATTCATTCATCATCAAGTGGGTGCTCCTGGTTGAACCCAAACCAAAATAGCACCACCTCCCTCATTAGGCACAACATTTAGGTCACTTCACCGGACATATATTTTAAATGAGGTCAAAAAACAGACTTAACCACCGCACCCTTCTTCCTGCTCACTTTGTTATCTCACATGTTTAAAGACTCATTTGAACAATAGCACAGATGGAAACTCTTAAAGACACACCTGCCTCAAGGTTCAATTCTGTTCCCAAAAAACAACTCTTTCTGGTTTGGTGAGTAACAAGGAAATACCAGTTGTTTCCTCTTATGAGGGGCTTTGTCAACGTGTCATCCCAGTCACTTGAACATTCAGAGAGCATTTGGGGAATCTGCAGATTTGTGATTGAGCATTCCTAAGCTCAGCATCACTGTTACCCTGACAGCAGCAAGTGACACTGCAAAGTCCTTGGAGGTTGTTTATAGGACACATTGAACTCACCCCTTCCCAAGTGTCTGCAGATGAGGGCTTGAGCTAGCATCATCTGTCCACAGCGGAGCATGCATCCCCAGCCAGCATCTGATGAAGGGCCTGTTCCCCCTGTTGGCAAAAGGATGAGAATGGATAGACTCCCCAAATTCCAACTCATAGTGGCCCTATAGGACAGAACAGAACTGCTTCCAAGGTTGTAAAATTTTAAGGAAGCAGATAGCCTCATCTTTCTCCTGAAAACCAGCTGGTGAGTTCAAATCACTGACATTGCAGTTAGCACACCAATGTTTACCCCACTGTGCCACCAGAGCTTCTGAAAATGGATATAGGTTCCTTAACTTGCCCTTTCCCTAAATATCAGCATATCTGGGAACCATATAAGACAGGCAAACACACATACCCTGCAAAGGGAGGCAAGAGATCTACTTAGATATCAAAGAGCGTTTCGATATCGAATTGGAACTTGCACACATAATGCTGATTAAATAAAAGGAGTATTAGGGCTAAAGACAAAACATAAAAAACTTGCCCCTTAGGTTTTCTGCTAAGAAACTTCTAGATATGCATGTAATTTTGGTAGATGACTGCCATGCATGGCTATTATCACTTATTCCATCCCATTTAATCATCTGTCTGACCAAACCTAGCCTTGTACATTTCCACATCACTTAGTACCCTTAGTTAGGGAACATCACCCTTGCAAGGCAACTGAGACAAGGCGGCCACCTCTTTCCTTCTGTTTTCGGGACAGAAGGAGAGTTACTACAGGAAGATGGGGAAAACTGAACCCTATGTCTCATGTTAATGGACAGATTAGTATGGAAAAGATGCAATGGGGCCCAGAAAAAGATGAGGTCATTTATTGCCAAAATTTTGGCAAAGTTGAACTGCAAATGTTTTCTAGTTTTGCAAAGAGTCTCACAAAAGAAGTGAACAGTTTAGAGACAGTAGGTAATACCTTGTTCTTTTTGCTTTACTGCTTGGGTATATCCTATAGAGAGCAAAAATGTCTGTGTAGATTTCATTTCTGAGACTTATAAGAAAGGCTGACTTCACTCTACTGGATAGGTCCAGTCCTGCATCAAAATGGGTCAAATACATTTCTGCTTTGGACTATGGCCTCCATCATTTGAATCTGGTGACTTTTTCTGACTGGGCTAGGATACTGGGAAGAAGACAGCCTATTTGCAAACATTTTACAAATTTTCTCTAGAGGGAGAACATTCATTCATTTTATTAAGTTGTCATTTTTCTAGAAGGTACTCAAATAGCTTAGAATTAATTCCCAGAAAATTTATCATAATTTATCTCCCAGTGGCAAAGTGTTTTCATTTTATGTTGTTGTTAATTGCCATCGAGTCAGTTCCGACTCATAGAGACCCTGTATAGGGTTATGCATTGGGCTGCTAATCTCAAGATCTGCCGTTCAAACCTACCAGTCATCCCAGGGGAGAAGGATGAGGCCTTCTGCTCTCATAAAAATTTACAGCCTCAGAAACACTGTGCAGGCTTCACACCACTGCCACCTCCACCACCCAAAATAAAGGCTTACTTGAAATTTTTCTTTGCTTTCAAACATAAAGCACGTAATATTACCTAGTGCCTGAACACTTGGAAGTGGGCTCAGAAATACGCTAATGTTGTACATTAACACTATAGAATTACATAGGATAAGGTATGTCAGCAGAGAAAACTTTTAGATGAAGTCTAAAATGTACCTACTTCCCCTAAATAAAACTCTTTGCCACCGTGATCTATTAATTCTGGGGTTTCTATGAAGTCACAGATACCACAGGCAAGCTACCTAGGAGGAAGAAAGCACAGTACAACAAATGATATACCTACCAATTGGTGAAAATTTCCTTCTGTATGTAAACCATAGACGAGCACTTATATCAGACAACAGCTTAGATCTTTCTGTAATTAAATGTAAAATTAAAGTTAAATCACCAGAGTCCCTCTGTAAATATCTGCATTTGATTTCTGGGTCATCAACAAATCAAGTCATTTTCAAATAACCAGTCAATTCCATTGGTATGGGGTTAGGAAAATTCGTAGGGATCCCAATTAGCCAAATAATTCAGTAGTTCCCCTCACCCGTTTCAACCAGAGCTACTGATGGGTATGGTAATGCTGGGAGGTTCCTTCTCACTAAGCTCCATTGCCTTGCAGGTACTAATAGTGGGGATAATCCTCTAACAAAAGCAATCTCAGTCTCTGAATGACAATTGTTGGGTAGCTCACTCATCAGTACCCACAGTAAATCATCTAAGACTAGGTTTGTGTGCAATTTCAAGGGAACTTTCGCGGCTAAGCAAATGAAATATTAATAAAAAGTTAATCCGTAGTATCTAGTGGAACTGGCATCTATAATCTAAATGGCTGTAGAATATCACAAATGATTTTGTGTCTTTTACTTGTATTTTATGACATAAATATACTTTGATGGCCATCAGTATGATTTCTACATTTTCATCCATTCTTTGATGCAGTCTATTTTTCTTACTCTTCTATATAGACCCTATAGCCATAACACTTTAAAAAAAAAAAGAGGGAAATTAAAATGTCACCAATGATTTCTATTTTTCTCTCCTGTCTTTCCTTTGAACGAATCAGAAAGATGAACTGTTTTCCCTCTACTCCATGTCCCCAGAGCCTATCAAATATTGAGAAGTAGATGTCAAGTGGTTAACAGTAAGAATTCTAGAGTCATCTTCTACCTAAGTTTGAACCCTACTCTGCGACTTAACAACTACATAATATTTTTCTATATACATATAATTTATTTTATTTGGTTGCTGTTGAGAATATACATAACAAAACATACACCAATTCAACAATTTCTACATGTATAAATCTGTGACACGGATTACATTCCTCAAGGTGTGGATCCATTCTTACCCTGCTTTTCTGAGTTGTCCCTCCCCTCATTAATGTAAACTCCCAATGCGTTAGACAGCAAAGTAATTGAAACTGCAAGGTCGGTGGCTCAAGCTCACCAGTGGCTCCTTGGAAACCCTATACAGGGTCGCTATACAGCACTTAACAACAACAACAACAAGGTACCAATCTAATCTTTTAAGTTGTTGTTGTCAATTTGATCCCACATAAATAGTTCTTAGGAACATAAAACTCAAGGCAGACATTCTTCACTAGTCAAGCTAAACTATTGTTTGTTTTACAAAGACTTCCGGTTTGGGGGCCGGTAAGCAGAGACAGATAGGGAAAGTTCCTCTGCTAAAGGCCAAAACAAGCAGAGAAAGAGCGGTCCGCAGAACAGCTGCGGGGTTTTGGATCCTGTTTAAGGTTCCAGGAGTCAGTTTCCCGCTCTCACTTGTGGAGAAATCGACCTGTGAAAGCAAAATACAGAGATTTCTAAATCAATCCCAGCTGAATCCATCCCCTCAGCCAGAGGGTGGGGCCTCAGCCACGAGGAGGCAGTGACCCAGCACTAAAAGCCCCGGAGCTGCACTTCTGGAGGGAGAAGTGAGACCGGTTTTCATCTTTCACTTTTCATTTTTCACATATCTTTCCTCTTCACTCCAATTGCGCCCTCACTGCCCAGTCCAGATGCCTTCAGGTGGGCAGGAGCACACCCAAAGGGGTCCAGCATTGTACCCATAGTTTTCCAATGGCACAGACAGGAAACCCACAGGCTGCTTCTTCTTCTGACACCTGACTCTGGGACTCAGCCCCAAAGTTGACCTGGGCAAGACCCTTTATCCCTGCCTGCATAGCAAAGGCTGGTGGACAATCATAATTTTATTTTTGTTTTTGATTGATGGTTTCTGTCTCTGCTTCTATATTGTTCCTGTCTTTGGTCCTTTAGGCCTCACTCTTTTCCCAGGGGTTGGAGCTTTCTCCCCCTACCTCACCCAAGAAGAGACAGCAACAGCGCCCATATAGCCAACCTACAAGCATACCCTGTAATACCCCATCATCTGGCCAAGAGCAAAAACCAGCTGCTAGGCATTACCCGTGAAAAGGGAAGCCTATCTACAGATCATATCCACCAGGAGATGCTTAGTAAGCTTAACATCCATTTAAGCATTAAAAATCCACAAAGCTGGTGAAAATGTCCAAGAAATCACAATGAAAGATCCAAACACATGTCCAAAAACAGAAAAAAGTAACTGAGACAAATGAGCTGGAAGTAGACACAGAAGTTCCAGTAGAAGAGCAGATTCTAGATCTGCCTGAGAAGGAATTCAGAAGAACGTTGTTGTTGTTGTTATTAGGTGACATCAGGTCGGTACCAACCCACAGAGACCTTATGCACAACAGAACGAAACACTGCCCGATCCTGGCCCAACATCACTACTGTTGCCAAGCTTGAGTCCATCAATGCTGCCACTTGGGCAATCCATCTCATTGGGAGTCTTCCCGTTTTCTCTGACCCTCCACCTTACCTTCTCCAGTGACTAGTCCCTCCTGACAATATGTCCAAAATATGAGAGACTAAGTTTGGCCATCTTGGCCTCCAAGGAGTACTCTGGCTGCACTTCTTCCAAAACGGATCTATTGTTATTTTTTTATGGCAGCCAATAGCACTTTCAATATTCTCCTCCAACACCATAACTCAAATGCCTCAATTCTTCTATGGTCTTCCTTATTCACTGTCCAGCTTTCACATGTGTATGAAGTTATTGAAAATATCATGCCTATGATCAGGCACACCTTAGTCTCAAGCAGACATCTTTGCTCTTCAACACTTTAAAAAGGTCTTGCGCAGCAGATTTGCCTAATGCAGTACGTCCTTTGATTTCTTGACTGCAGCTTCCTTCAGAGTGTTGATAGTTGATCCAAGAAGAATGAAGTCCTTGACAACTTCAATCTTTTCCCTGTTGATAAAATGTTGTTTATTGGTCCAGTGGTGAGGATTTTTGTGTTCTTTACATTGACATGTAATCCATACTGAAGGTTGTGCTCTTTGATCTGCATCAGTAAACGTTTTAAGTTCTCTTTACTTTCAGCAAGCAAGATTGTATCATCTGCATATCACAGGTAGTTAATGAGTCTTCCTCCAATCCTGATGCCACGTTTTTCTTCACATAACCTACCTTCTTGGATTATTTGCTCAGCATATAGGATGAATAAGTATGGTGAAAGAATACAACCTGCACACCTTTCTAAATTTTAAACTATTCAGTGTTCCCATGTTCTGTTCGAACAACTGCCTCTTGACAGATTCCTCATGAGCACAATTAAGTGTTCCAGAATACTCATACTTCACAATGTTGTACATAGCTTGTCATGATCCACACAATCAAAAGCCTCTGCATAGTCAATGTTGTTGTTAAGTGCCGTCAAGTCGGATCCGACCCATAGCGACCCTGTACTGGGTTTCCGAGGCTGTAAATCTTTACGGGAGCAGAACGCCTCATCTTTCTCCTAAAGCACAGGTAAACATCTTTCTGAAATTCTCTGCTTTCAGCCAAGATCCATCAGACATCAGCAATGATATTCCTCGTTCCACAGCCTCCTCTGAATCCAGCTTGAACTTCTGGAAGTTCTCTGTCAATGTATGATTGTACCATTTCTATATTACCTTTAGCAAAACTTTACTCGCATGGGATATCAAAGAGATTGTCTGATGATTTCCGCATTCCATTAGGTCACCTCTCATTGGAATGGGCACAAATACAGATCTCTTCCAGTCGGCCAGATAGTTCTCTTCAAAATTTCTTGGTAGAGATGAGTATCTCCTATGCTGCCTCACTTTCTTGAAAGATTTTTATTTCATCAATTCCTGGTGCCTTGTTCTTTTCCAGTTCTTCAATGCACCTTGGACTTCCTTCTTCAGTATCAATGACTTTTTATAATATGCTACCTTTTGAAATGGTTGAACATTAACCATTTCCTTTTGGTACAGTGACTCTATATTCCTTCCATCTTCTCTTGATGCTTTCTGCATTGTTCAATAATTTGCCCAGAGAATCTTTCAATAACGAAAGTCGAGGCTTGAATTTTTTCTTCACTTCTCTCAGCTTGAGAAATGCTGAGCATGTTCTTCCTTTTTGGTTTTCTGACTCTAGATCTTTGCACATTTTGTTGTAATATTTGGCTTTATCTTCTCGAGCTGATCTTTGAAATATTCTGTTCAGCTCTTGGACCTCCTCATTTCTTCCATTTGTTTTAGCATCTCTACATTGGAGAGCAAGTTTCAGTGTCTCTTCTGACATCCATTTTGACCTTTTCCTTCTTTCTTGTCTTCT